GAAGGAAGGAAGGAAGGAAGGAAGGAAGGAAGGAAGGAAGGAAGGAAGGAAGGAAGGAAGATCCCTCCAAGGCACTGCTACCGTCTGGCAGTCAGAGCAGCTGCAGTTACACATGTGCTGGGGGCTGGTTCCCACAATGCTCCACACAGGCTGCAGGTGCTATGAACATGCTGTGGACGGTTTGAGGATCCGGGCTGCAGCAGGAAGAACCGCCTCCTTTGTATAAGGACAAGGGCACCCTGGCTTTCCCAGCTGAGCCAGGATCCTAGCTCACCCCGCAGGTCCCCAGGGGTCAAGCTGGCTGAGATGGACATCCACCAAGGTGAGAGCCATGATGTAGAGAAAAATCATAGGCCTGGGGCCAGGAGAGCTACTTTCTATTCCTGGGTCTGCCATTAATAAGCTGGGTGACCTTGGGCGAGTCACTTTGTCTCTTTTCTCATCTTGTAAAATGAGTCTGGACAGTGATAGCTAATGCCTGAACTTGAGAACTCATCAGAACCACAGAGGAAGCATGTTGAAAGTAGATTCCTAGGCCCCACCCCACACAGCTTGGGGCCGCAGTCCAGAGTGAAACGGATCGGTACAATATTTATATGGTAATGAATAAAAAACCTGAGCATCAGAAGCACTTGCCTATGGTTAAATTCAGTCGTGCTGCCTACCCCCTGTAGTGTTGTCTACAGGCAACCACTTTTAATCATCTGCTTTTGATCTTCTGGGGGTTACCATCTTATTGCTAAATAATATGCCAGCTCTTGTTTCATCAACGTCAAACATTGCCCATTGTCTCCCTGCTCCGACAGAGTGAAGACTTCGCTCCCTCGCCCCACCCCCACCATAGCTCTGACAGCGATATTTTAATGAGCACCCCAAGTGATTCTAATGGAGTGGGGTCTGCCAGCCATGCTTTGGGATCAAACTGCCCTGGGAGACTTTTCAGTAGGGACACACATGTCCTCTCAGGCATCTTAACAGCCTGCTTCTTCCAAAATAAAAAAAAAATTTTTTTTCAGTGCTGGGATTTGAACCAGGGCTCTCCTGATGTTACATGAGCACTGTACAGCTTAGCTGCACACCCACCTCTGGATGGTCTAGAAGGCTGGCTGTGGGCATCATGCTGGTAACCGCATTGCTCTGGGTTTGGGGAGGGTGTGGAACTGCTCTGTTCATCATTCTGACACCTCTCTTGATGAAGTGTCACCGGTGTGTCAGGTGCCAGTGACGAGACCTCTCCTTCAGGGACTGGTGTGGCTCTGGCTCCAGCAGACTGTTAGCCCCTGCCTTCTTTGTTCACGACAAGTGTAGTGTATTCGGGGAACACAGACAAAGGAGAACGCAAAGACACTGCCACGTTACCTCCTGAGGCCAAGACACACCAAGTTGAGAAGTCAACACACAGGTATCGACACTAACTGAAACACATCACAACCTGCCGAAACCGAAAAGCAAAAACACACAATAGACCAAGCCCACCC